ATTTCATAAGCTTTCCATGAAAATTTTACTTCTGAAAATAACAAATTCAATTATCTTACTGCTAGCCATGTATCCTGGATAGCTATGGTTTATATAATACATTCTGTATATTGCCCTTCCCACTTAAGACAACAATACTCTTTTTTTTTTTAGCTGCCAGAAAAATGGCCTAAGTCAAACATACGTTTCCATTTGTACCATGAGGCAATTTTTGCCATCACTTTCAACTAATATATGGCATCCTTAGACCTGCACATACTGCACTGTTTCCACCATCTTTAGTCCTAAATGCCTAAGTGGCAGAAGTCAAATAAATAGCTGGCAGAATAAACTAAATAATATAGATTAGTAGCAAAGAGAAAAATAAGAACCAAACAACAAAACATATACACTGTGTATATGCTCACACACTTGTGTATCTAATCCCTCCAGTAAAGGAAGTTTCCAGGGTACTAGACTGAGAAAAAATATTTGATTTGTAAATTAGATGAGAACTTTATGCTGTCTTTCTCTGCAGGAAACAGCTTTAGATATTAAAATAATAAAATAATTTCTTCGCTGCTCCTAATAGCTCTATGCTGCAAAGATGTCACAGTCAAGGACTTTAGAAAAATGTGCAACTATTAAGGTATGTGTCATATGCACCCCACTTTTAAATTTAAAACACACAAATAGTTGGGATTTCTAGAAAAAAATAAATTTAAGCTCTAAATGACCTAATTTAGTTGGGGTTTTTTTTGCTTCCAATTAATCGTATCTGATTCTCAGAGACTGCCTAGAAAAGTCCCCGCAATTTCTTTGGCAAGGTTCTTTAGAAATGGTTTGCCATGGCCACCTTCCTAGGCCTGAGAGAAAGTGACTGGCCCAAAGTCACCCAGCTGACTTTCTGCCTGAGGCGGGAATAGAACTCATACTCTCCCCGTTTTTAGCCTAGGGATGCAACCACTACACCAAACTCTCTTTCTTAAATTAGTTAACTTAAATCAAATAGTATCCCAATTGTTAGGCAATAATAATAAATTATTATCTGGGTCTCCAATGTGATTTTTGGGTATGACAATATATTTATAAACATGTTTCTTGGCACAATTAAATTCTCCATCCTTCCTGATTTTTTAGTCAATTAAAAAGCAACCAGAACAACTGCAACAAATGGCAAACTTCCATGTTGCAAAACATGGAAGCTTCAAGCATGGCCTGTACTATAATGCTATCAATGCCTCTGTGTCTCAGAAATACCGTATTCTTAACAAATAAACTGAAGAGTGCTGCTCAGTTGATTGTTTGCCCTTCAATATGTTGGTATTGTGGGTGATTGGTGACATTTGAATTGCAATTTTGATGAAGTATCAGGCACTCAGTATTCAAATGTTCTCATGGGGCCTACAAAGTTAGGGACTCCTGAATTTCCTGTTTCATATCATTTTGTACCATACAAAATTTCTCCAGAAAGCAAACAAGTACCTGTTCATCAGGGAATAAGAATAAGATTTATGGCTATATCTTACCCCTTCAAGGATTTCAACGTATGATTTTCTTCAGTGGCTAAATTAATTCATTTATACATTGGGTTTTTCACCTAACAAACATACTGTGAGAGTGAAGACTGTTGCTTTCAGACAGGCTTGAACCTTCCCTTTCATTTTAGTCATTACAAATATGTTGCTGCAAGGTGAAATGAAATAATAAAATTTATTATTAATTTATAATAACTGTTAAAGATTATGTAACTATAGGAAAAAAAATCCAGCCATGGAAACTTAAAATGAGATTTGACATTTTGCAAAGTAGAAAAATAAAATGGCAGTATCAAAACTTGACTGAACTATTTCCACAGAATGAATTGAGTAGGATAGACAATATTTCAAATGAAGCTGGATTAAAAAATATCAGGATAGAGTTTAAAGTATTAGGAAAAAACAGAGATAAAAACAGTATGTTGAGATAATTATTAAAATGCTTTACGTAAACAGATGATTCTAAATGCATTGGCAATTTTTCCAACAATTTCCCAGCAGTCATTAAATTCATATGTAGATAATAGTTTAAATATTTAAATATAAATCAGGATATTTTGAAAAGTCCTTTATGCTCTTTATATTCAAGATTAATATATATGGAACACTGAAGGAGTGAAGCATAAAGAAAAACAATCATTTGGAGACAGAACATATGAACAAAAGGTTCAAGAATTGATGTAGCATATACTACCTGCAGAAAGCTTTGTATTAAGCACAAAGATTGAACTGGATGCAGTTATTATTAGTGAATGCACGGAATAGATCACTGTTTTTCTTTACAATGGTGGTGGTCTAAGTAAGAAAAATCTAGCAATTTGACAGAAGTGACACTGGCAAATAGGTCAAAAGACAGAGAACCAATTCAACCTGAAGTGAAAGCTCCACAAGAAAAGAAAATCCAATGTGTTGATAAGCTGGTAAGGAGGTAAAGAATTGGGGGGGGGGGTAGAAAAGATAATACAAGTCTGAAGAATTGATGCTATGCTTTAAATCAACACCCATCAAGAATTTGTTAAAGCTGATTAAGCCATTGCTGTTTTTCAGTCATCTCAGAACATAGTTATTGGAGGTGAACAACCCCACCCCCATCTAATGGCTCATTATCTACTGCTGCCACATGGCATGACTATTTAAAGAACTGCAAAATCCAAAACTACAGAATGCACAATCTCATTATTGAAGTACATGAACACTATGTAATGGACACTAATACAAGCAGTTCGTTTCGAAAAAATCAAATGATAACAAAAGAAAGGCCAAAATATTTCAACAGGCATTTTGACAAAGAAGAAATAAAAGACAAGTACGTTTGATACCAAGCTCAAAAATTACTGACTAGTTCTCATTTGTTCATCTATTAAAACAAAAAGTTTAAATTAGCAAGAAGGAATAGAGTACTTTATGATCTACCACAATAGCTTGACTTCATCTTCAGAGATGATCTGATTTCTCTCCCTCACATACCTCCATTCGAATAAGACACAGTAGTCATCACAATGCTGGTTCATTATATGTTTAAAACCACAAAATTTGGAATGTGGAATATCTACTACGGTACATATAGTTTCCAACCACACCCAAATATATGAAGTGTTATTATGTAATAAACTACCAGTTCCATGTTTTGATTGAAGTTTCTCTCTACTGCCACCCTCTACAGCCATAAATGGAAAATGATAGTGGGAGAGATAGAACACTGACAAACTGCTTTTTATTTAGACAGGCACAGAAAAACAGAGAAAGTACGGTAGTCTGGAACTAATTAACTATGCCTATCATTGGAGAAAGAAAATTTCCCATAGTTCAGTAAAACATTGTGTAAAACTACAAAAATGCCTGGAAAACTCAAGAGAACATACCTGCAAAGATAATTATTTCACTTGAGATTACTTCTCCTGGAAAGGTTTTTAGTGCATTTCTAACAACTTGTGCCCATAAATATTAATACAAATTAAGAATAGGTGCGTGTAAAATATTTGTTTTGAACTTTTTCTAATGTTACATTTCATAACCATCCTGATGAGTGAGAAAGTGTTTTGAACACAAAATGGACAGTTTTCAGTATTTTGAAGTTAGAGCAATTCCTCTTCCAGCAAGAAAATGTTAGTGATTGAGGGCTTCGAATGTTCAATTTCAACAAATTCCATCCTCATACTGAATCAAAATAAAACTATGAATGCACCCCCAACAACACACAAATGAATCAAATCAATGTGTTATGACTTCTATCCTTATTCTGTGCAGATAACTATTACAAAAATTATACACAGAGAGATTATTATGATAGCCATTCCCGGGATCTTAAGAGCACATAAAAGACAAGACAACTGGATATTGGAAGAAAGCAATATGATACAGGAACTGCAATATTTTATCTGGATGTAGGTAATCCTCACTGGGTTACAGCTGTAACCTACTGATCACACTTTTGCAAAGATAAAATGGTCATATCATATCAAACATATTGAACTTAAAGGAATTGTAGGATATCGATGAGACACAGATTTGGAAGTAGATTTGCCCAAATTAAAGAAAAGATAGTTATGAATTTTTAAGACTTGCAGAAATGATACCCAAATCAAATATTAGGTCATTATTAAACAATAATGTAAAAAGCAAACTAGGAGCAGAAGATTGGAAAGGAGGAAGAAACAAAAGATACTCTTAATATCCAGAAGCATATTCAAAATAAGGCATTCCAAACCAGAGGCTTTCCACGGAGCAAAAGATGTTCTAAGATATTCCACACCCAGAGGAAAACCAAATGTGGAAAAAGCGAGCAACAGGCCAGTAAAAGTTCAGATTCTGGTTCAATGAAGGACAAAGAACTGAGCCGAGACAAGGATACCAAAAGCCAACACCGGAAGACGGGGAGGATGCTGAAGAAATCAGACAGCTGTCATCTTTCTCTTACTAATTATTTAAAAAAAATGTTTATGAAAAAGAAAGAAAAAAAGAACCCCAAAGGCTCTGCGGGACAAATGCTTTCCTAGCGTTTTCTTTAATATGTGTCACACCGTTTTCTAGCTCAAGCAGAGCCTACCTTTATCAAACAAAACGAAGGTAGTAGCCGCGGTGGTAGCAATCCGACTCATTATCTTGTGCTCGATTCCAGATTTGCAACCCCGAGAAGCGGCTCAGAGGAGAGAACCAAACGTGAAAGGAGAGCAGATAAAGAAGGGAGGGGGGGTGGCGATTCAGGAAGTCCGGGGCACTTTTTCCAAAACAATTTAGTTTTAGGTCGCAATAAGTTACTGGCAGCCCGTCGGAAGGCGGGGAAGAAAAGAGAGAAATCCGGATAAACAAAACCAGCCAAGGGGAAGGGGGGGCAGACTCGGTCGGGAGATAAACGAGCCCCCCCCCCAAGAGGACAGAAACGCCGGGGGGGGAGAAGCCCCCTGACTGGGAAAAAAAAAAACAGGATGCCAGGGCTGTGATGGGGGGGGGGGTCTGTCATGAGAGCCTCTCTCCCGCGCTTACCTGCGAGGCGGCGCTCCCGCAGCAGCCCATGGCGGGCTCGGGGCTAGGTCTCTGCCGCGAGCTCCAGGCATCCAAGCGCCGCGGTCTCCCGGTTGCCCGCCCGGCCCCAGGGCAACGGCGGCAGCGAGGCGACGGAGGGAAGGAAGGAAGGGAAGGGAAGGGAGGGGGACGAGGAAGGTCTGCTTGCGCCGCCGGAGGGGCCGCTCGTGAGCTCAAACCGCCGCTCCGAGTCCGCAGCGGCGCCTCAACCCCCTTTCTCTGAGACGACGGCAGCGGCGACGGCTCCTCGTCCCTCACCCCTCCACCCGCATCCCAACGGCAGCGCCGCGCGGCGCCTCCGAGGGCGGGGCTAGGGATGGGGCGGGGGAAGGAGAGGAGGAGGAGGAGGAGCCCCTCTTCCCCCTCCCCCCAGCAGGCAGCCGGCTCGCTGAGATTTCGCTTCGCTCGGGCTCCACCAACCAGGCTGCCGCGCGACCTAGAAACAAACCCGGAACGACGCTGCCGGCGTCGCGGGAGACGGTCGAGCTGAATTAGGAGGAGCGCCAGGACCGACGCCGACCTTCCCGCTGAAATTACTGCGGTTCAGGCGAAGGACTCGCTGGCACCTCCGTCAGGGAAACCTTCCCTGGTGCTGTCCCCCTCTTTAAAAGAGCCCGACTCGCTTCCGGTTTGTATTTCGGTGGTAGTACCTCTCTTTTGTGCTTCCCCTTCTTACCTCTCCGTTGTGGAGAAGGTTAGGGCGAAGTAATTACCGCATAAACTTAGAAAGTTTAATTATTTAAACTGCAACCGTGTCTCCGTTTATCAACGACTTAATCACAGGCAAATCAATAGGATTTACTTCTGAGTAGATAGCCAGGGTTTGTTCTGTTGACCGTTGTTATTCGTTTAAATCTCCCAGTGACCTTGGGCACTTTCCTTTTCCTGTCCTTCATAAAGATCTGTATGTTTTGATCATATGATGACCTTTATATCACCCTTTGTTGCTACTCGGAAAAGCTGCAGAATAACCGAACAAGCATGAATAGCTGCACGTACACACCTTATAGCAAAATACGGCAATTCGTCCAGTGACCAGGTTTGGAAAGGAGAGAGAGTTACTGTTTCTGGTAAATTAAAACAGTAGGTATTTTACATGTACATGTATTTTACATGTTTCTTTTCATTTTGGAAAGATTGTTCTGGTTAAGAAGAAGAGGATGACGATGAGGATTAAACTTGCATGCCTGACTCTAGATGATTGGGTGGCTCACAACAACGAATTTACAATAAAATAAAGATAAGCTATTATTAATATGATTAAATAAAAGATTATTGCCAAGAAAAGGATTGAATGTATAGCAAGATGATAGAGCCTCTCCTATGGAGATTATGTCTAGTATGTGACTGACAGACCAATAGGGTGAGATAGAAATGAAGTAAAGCATAAATGGGAAGAACATGTATGCATTTCATTTTCATGCACAATTCAGTTGCAATAAGAATTGTGTAAAGATTTCCTGAAAAACAAACAGTTCCGGAAAGACAGGATTCAAAAAAGGAAAGAACATGATTGCTACAATCAGGCAGGTAGGTAGAGATAGATAGATAGATAGATAGATAGATAGATAGATAGATAGATAGATAGATAGATATTATGAATAACCCAATATGAATAAAGTAGTATTTTTTTCTGAATACATATATTACCATAGATGAGCAACTGGAACAGTGCTGTGGAACCTATAGTCCTCCAGTGGTTGTACAATAGCAGGGTATAATGGGAGTTGTAGCTCAGCAACAGTCAGAGATGAGTTTTCACCCCTGAATTAACATCTCTCAGACCTGTTCTCAGATATGTTGGCATCAGTATTTGTCACTTTTTTACAATTATACTGCTGTACAATGAATGCTTTGTAACAGTAGAATTATATTTCTCCTTTTCATTTCCTTTTTCTGCTTTTTCATATAATCAAGTTTCCTCAGAACTGGAATATTTTAGAGAAATGCTAAGTTCCATATAGCAACTAATAAAGGTTCAGAACAGCCTGTTAGAAATAGCTCAGAAATGAATAGGAAGGTCACCCAAGTAAACACAAAATGTTTAAAGAATAAATTCTTTTCAGCACCAAAATCTGGGCTTTTAATACTATGGCATAGGTATTTAAAATGTAAGTAGGCAGCCTGGTGTTATCCAGATGTTTGGACTACAAATCCTGCATTTCTTTGTCAGTGGTTACAAAGGATAAGGATTGAAGTCCAAAAGAATTGAGAAGAGAAATACTGTACATCACGCTCCTAAACTTTCATTCCACTTTCCCTTTTATGCACAGGTTATGCCATTTCTGTGAGAATCCTACATGTTATTCCAACCAGTTTTTTCAAGTCAATACTACATAGTTTGCAAAATTCAACTTCAAAAGATTTGTGGTTTGGGCTAAGACACATGCTGCATTAGTTCATTCAAAAATAATTTTCTCCAGTATGGAGGCAGCTTTCTTGCTGATGGATAGCAGAAACTTTTTTTTATTAAAAAAAAAAAAAAGCTTCATACAGTGGGAAAAATGCATGGATGAGAAATAGTAACTTTTGGACTAAACTTTCTAAGAAAATCATCTTGAGACTGTGGCCCTCACAAAAATGAAATAAATATGAAGATCCTTAAAGATTTTTTAAAGATAACAGTGATAAGAAAAACATGTTATTTATCTCCGGTTAAGAGCTTAAAAGGTATTTTCCTTTATGGAGGGAAAATGAGTTGGATAAATAACCTGAACTGTACAGGGTCAAAATGAAAGGGAAAGAGCTGAACTGGGAGAAGGAAGAAGTGATGAAAACCATGAGAATATCAGTCTAACAAAGAGGCACGTTACAAAAAAGCAAATAAAGCAAATCTTTTAGACAAGGAAAGCCGAGTTCTTCTGGATAGCACTAAAATGCTATTATCCAGTGGAGGAGCCAGTTTACATTATAATATCTTAAAAGAAGTGCTGATCACATTTTCAACTCTGCTTTGGCAACAAAGCAGAATAGAAGATTTATCCATACAGGGGGAGGAGAAAGGTTGAGTGTGGAATGCCTCCTTTGATGGCATTGCTGGTGGCAGCAGTACAACCTTGTTGTGGTAGACTTCGGTTAGTATGGGTGGGTCTATGGGATATAACAGAGTTACCCTGAGGTAAGATGGGCGGCCAATAAATTTAATAAATAAATAAATAAGCAAGTTATAATTACCTTTCATGATGTCCAAGCAACAAATAAGCTATGCAGAGGTGCTACATACCAGTAACGTGTCATGATTTTTGAACATAGGCCTATTGATCAGAAAGCCCAAATGACAGGAAGTATAGCAAACCTTTTTACCAATCCATCACTTTTTTGTAAGACTGGTAAACCTCTGGCCAAATACGGCATTAAAGCAGAAAATATGGCACTGTTGCGCTACTTCTTTGGCACTTACTGGGATGGTTCTCTGCATGACTAACACGGGCCATGCAAGTGAAAGGAGCCACTATATTACCTGTGTATGGCAGCTGAAAGTCTTGAACTATTCAGTGCTAGCAGACCAGTGCCTCACCTGTATAGGAACCATTGTGTGCTGTGTTCCAAAACATCAGCGTTTTCATATACACAAGGGGCTGACAGAAGGCCTGAGGCATGCTTTGTAAAGCAAAGTGCACTCGGTCTTTATGTGAGAAGTTTCTTTTGGGGGGGGGACGGGACGGAGGCAGCAGTCCAAGACAAAATGGCCATGAAGATAAGTGACTGGTGGAGTGGAGGCGTTACCAGAATGAAATAAAGTGCTGGAAATGACCTCAAAGCTCCTTATGTCAGCAGAAGTTGCAAACATTTTTGATATGAAGTTGGAGGTTAACCTTGGAATAAGCCAGGGGTGTGATCAGGATGATTCATGGCCTTCTTTCAGTCTTCACACCAAAGTAAACAGCCTGTTAAGCTCTGTTTCTGTATTTCTTGCTTCTAGTGGTCAATTTATATACTCAGCCAATGGTTGCCGCATACAAATGTGAACTCCAATAATAGCCATTTGTTCTACTTAGAAGATCTGCATTTTTAGGGCAATTAAATTCTCAGAATAAAGGCTACCTACCCTTCTGGCTGTTTCAGCTGGAAGATTGTTGAGGCCTGGCTTTTCCCTCAGACACTGGACAGGAGGGGAAGGGAGCCTAGCATTGTTTGGTATTTTTCTTGAGAGGGCAATATAGTAGCACTGGTGATGTGTTAAGAGTCTTAATCCTGTATTTTTATGATGTATTTGTAAGATGCCTAGGGTAGTTTTATATAATATTGGCTGCCATGTAAAATTTGCAAACAAATAAATCAATCAACATTAATTCAGGGGCTGTCAAACCACACATCATTAGAAGATTGCTGTATTCTTTCCGTTTGGCTTTAGGGAAGCTACCTTAAAGAGTGCTGTGAGGAAGAGCGTTCATGACAGTCAGAAGACTTACGACTGTGCATATTTTCTCAAAAATGAGTTCCCCTGTATTTCCTGGGGCTTTTTCCTTAGTAAATATATTTATGACTGCAGCTTTAAATCTCGCTTCGTTCCCATGCTGGGATTTCATATTCATAAAATAATGAAGTCAAATCTGTAGTTCTATCACCTTCAAGGCTCCTGTAAATTCCCAGCTAGGGTGAAAGAAAGAGCATTTGCAGAGCATCTGGTAATGCCTGGAAGCCTGCTTCTAAAACAGGATACTGCTCCAGTTCTCACCGAAAAGATGAGCTTTGAACACTAAATCAACCCAGCCCTATTTTTCAAGACATCGGTAGGATTCACAACAGTAGGCAAAACAACACTCCCTTTTCTCTTGGATCTCCTCCAGCTTCTGCAGAGCTAGATCCCTCCTGTCTGCTACTTGCATGACTCAGAATGTGTTTAATGGCCGATGAAAGTCCAGCCGGTCTAGAATACAAGTCAGTGCATCTTGTTTTAAGGCAGCACAACCAAACCTACCAGCAATAGGCATACAGTATTCAGAACCAGATTGGTTATCATTATAGCCATTCTATAAATACGGGGCTAGTTGGAAGTACTGGATAGGAATACCAGATGATAAGACAATTGGTTCAGTTCACAGTCATCTTAAATAGAACAGATTTGCATGTGATGGATGAATCACAGAGGGAAAAAAAAGCCTTTGGTGCTAACAGCAAATCGCTTCACTTCCCCAGAATTAGCTCTAGCACCTTGTTGCAAAATTGCTAGAAAAACAAGTTCTGACGTTTTTTTAAAAAAACGTACCTGCTTGCATTGCAAATAACATGGTAAATTTAAGGTAAGCAAAGCGCCTTGCCTTCTGCATGGGAGGCAAGAGAAGGCA